TACACAGTAACACCCTAGATGCCTTAAAATATCTCTTTGCTACTTCAAATTCCTGGCTCACGGCCAATCTCAGGGAGATTTCTCTCCTTAGCAGACAATGTTTCAGGAGCTGATTAGGTAAACAAACTAACTAATATGATGAATGCGGGTAACAAGGACACATCGAGACTCACGTCCCTTTGTAAAATGAGAGATTCCTCCTACTACAATTTGCTCTTCTGCATCATCAATAATCTGAAGCAGTATCGGTCATAATTTGGGATGCAGAGGAGGAAACTGGCAAGAATAACCTTGCCAGTCTTGACTCCGAAACGCTGCAACCCTGCAGTCGAGCACAGAGTGCCTCAACTTTTACCACTTTCAGCAGTGGGCACTGAGGGTGAGAATTAGATGATGATTAAGGTTAGAAACACCCCCATTTATAAGGCTTTGCAGTACTGCTGATTTTGGTAAGGGGGCCTCAGAAGAACAGGCATGTGGAACAAGGATCCAGGAGATGCCACTGAAAGTGCTGGCGTTTGCTGCTATCTTGGTTCATAGGCTGTGGCTGCTCTTGGAAGAGACAGTCAGTGTGATGTGCCCAGTGGGGTTAGAGAGTGTGGGATGCTCAGCTCTGACCAAATGATAGGGATTGAGCTGATGGGCAGATCCTCTCTGAGCAAGGTGTTATGTTACCACCCTCTCTCTATTTGCCTGCCTCATATAGAGAGCAGGTTTCACAAGGTGATGGGTTTTGGTCTTGCAGTCTTTCTATGCCTAGAGGACCAAAACCCATGGATATGGAAGAGCCTGCAGCTTCTGCAGGGTGTGCAGGCATGCCCAGCTTGTAGTGTGTAATGTGCAGTGAGCAGTGTCTTATCCTGCTGCCCGTGCAGGGAGGGCACCTGGCAGCTTTGCCAGAGGTATGCTTGGCTGCTGCCCCCAGCTCGGCCACAGCAGCAACCACCCCAGATCCAGCCCTTGGCGTGCCAAGGGCAGCACTTGTGGAGCCTCAGGCGTGGCCCAGGAGAGGGCTTTGGGCTGCTAAACAGCAAATGTGCATGCATGGGCTGAACTTAGATGCTAACACATCTGGTGGATAGCAAGGCAAACCTGTCCTTTTTACTCTGTTGTCCATTTTTTGAGGGTAAGGTTCCTGGAACAAGCTTCTCATGTTTCACAGAGGGTGCCTATGTGATAATGAAAAGGTGTAAATCATCTTAAGATGTAGGACATTGGTCCAAGAGACACCTTTGCGCATCAGATTGTGATAGCTTTGCACAAACATCTAACATGCTTCAGTCTAAAACTAACCAGGGGTTTCCACCACTACTTATGAAGTGTGGAAGCACAAACACAATCTTTTCACTGTACTGTGGGCTGTGCAACGGAGAACCAGCTGAAAGCAAGTGAGAAGGAAGTTGCGGGGTACACGGCCAAATCAATAAAGCATTTCACAAAGCTGGGCCAATCCACGTGATGGGAAGGGGCAAGAGGAAATGTGGACAAACCTAAACGTTGCTTGAAGCAGACTGAATTTTACAAAGCCGGAGGAAGTTGTAGAGTAGATCTCTCCAAGCGAAGACAACAAACAGCCAAAGAAGACGTGGAATACCAAAACTATGAGTAAACATACGTGTAAGGTTGAAACGCTCTCCAGGAAAAGTGAGGTGCCAGTAATAAATAACTGCATATTTGGGAGTTGTGGCTGATGTACCAACACAGTTGGAAATACCTCAGAATTACTACAACTGTTGCATAATTCAGCTCAGAATCAAGGCACAGGAAAATTTTGGTAACACATCAAGAATTCTGAAAAAAAGCAGTGAGATCTTCACACAGAAGAAAGATCCATTGATGGAGCCATCTGAATGAGGGCAAAATCCCGAGAAGGGGCCACGGAGAATAATTCTGCTGACCTGAAGCAGTGTTGTGGGCCCTGCCAGTGCCATGTCGGAGCTCTTCCCTCCATGCTCCTGGGGACGGGCTTGTGGCAGAGGTGCTGGGCTGGGGTCTGAAGCCAACGGTATTCAGTATTGAGCACCACTGGTTTCACTCAACTTCATCTCAGATGATATTAAAGCAGCATGGTCAGTGTTGCCTGTTTCTGTTCTGCTAGAAATTATGGGATTTCAAACTTTCCTTTTTCCTAGTCAAAACCAAGAGGCAATTCCCATCAAATGACAGACTTTGGTTTGAGAAATCTCAGAATGATCATGCTGAGGTGTTGATGTCATTTCAATTTTCCCATTTGGCTTTAAAGCATAGATTTTGCATGTCTTAAGCAGCTAAGATTAAAAGACAGCATTGAGAAGAAAGCCATAGACAATTTTCATTACGCTTCCAGTGGCTGAATGCAGTTTTTCCTGTGCAATTTTTGATTGAAATTTTTCCACCAGCTCTAGTCAAAACTGGGCTGCCAGCTGGCAAAGCTTCTGCTGGCTCTGGCATTTGTGTGGCCCTGCTGTGGGAAAGGGGATGCTCCAGGGCAGCAGGTTTAGCAGCAGTGGGCAGCGCTGGGGCAGGCTGAGACCTGGCCAGGGAGAAGGGCAGGGAGCATGAGGCATGGGGATGGATGTTTGGGGCATCAAGGCAGGAGAGAGGGGAAAGAAGAAGGTAGTAAAAGCATCAGTGAAGAGGCATCTGGGTAAAAGAAGATTGAGGAGAGTTTAAAAAGTTACCCACTTGGTACTTGATGGAAAATCCTGTTCCTGGTTGAGATCCCAGGTGTGGCAACTGGTGACAATAACAGGCGTGCAGAGCTGAGCCCTGCAAGCTGCTCTTGGTACATGGAAAAGTGTCACTGCAGGCCCAAACCCAGGCAGATTTACAGAAGCCGTCCCTTGGGTTGCACAGGAATTTCTCCCTGAAGCCAAGGGAGACTGAGAGGAGCTCTGTGGTGAGGGATATAACTGTACTGCTTTTTCCAGGGCAGAACAGGCAGGATCCCTCTCCTGACCTTGGTGGGCCGAGCTGTTCCCTTGCAGCATGGAGGTGTCGGTGGTGGCTGCCCCACTGCCCCAGTTTGGCCGGTGAGAAGGAACCCCACGGGTTTGTGCCAAGGCTGGAGAGGGAGCGAATCGGTCCCTTCCATCTCTGCCCGCTGGGCCCTGGGATTGGGAGAAGTGTATGGCCTGGAGCGAGGAACACTGTCAGCATCCTGCCAACTGCACAACCCAGCAAACCAAACCCGTGTGTCACACAGGCATGGAGGAACGGGTGGAGAGAGTGAGCCATGCACTCCTGAGAGTCCTTGCTCCAGGCCCCAGTGGATTCACAGCTATCTATGGTCCAGGGGTTACATATCGGCAGTATGAAAGTGTAAATCAGACTGTTCCTCATGCAGAGATGACACGTGTGACAAAGCAGCCTGTCTGTCAAATCCCCTTGGACACGCACAGAGTGTATTCTGCTGGGAGAAGCTTGGATCACAGCCACTGGGTCCACCACCCCCGACACCCTGCAGAGCTCCCTGCAGGGTGGCCAGCCTGGCTCCCAGGAATGGCCAAGGCTGGCTGTCACCAGTGCTGGTGACAGTGCTTCCTACCCTGCAGCTCTGTCCCCATAAGGCTTCAGTGCTGGGCGGTTCCCCTCCGCACAGGTAGAAGCAGTGAGCTTGCCTTGCCAACTGAGAGCAGGACATCACTCCACAGCATCAGTCTCATGGTCCCTGCCGCAGAGCTGGGAGTCTGCCCTTGTCCCACAGTGCTCCCCACTGCGGCCTGAGCTCCCCCACGGCTATGGACAGTGGGGAAAAGAGAGGGTTAAGCTGTCAGCTCCATAATGTTAAACAGGTGTCAAAGGCACCTCCATATATCTGCAGATTGAAATCAAATTCTTTGCAGTATAAAAAGATAAATTACCCAGGCGATTCCCGCCTCATCCCACTCATCAGGCCAGCGCCAGACGGCAAGCAATTTTTTTTTTTAATGTGCTAACGACCTAATCAAGCAATCAAGTCGGAGAAGATTGCAGAGTGACCCCGAGCATCCATCTGCCAGCGAGACCCCGCCATTCATTTCCATTCTGCCGTGTACTTTCCGGGAAAGGGAGGGAAAAAAATAGAAAAGAAAAAAAAAAGCCTAAACAAATTAACACCCAATTTTCTGTGAGTCTAATTAGTTAAATGAGGAGGTGTTTGGGGTGTCCGCAGGGAGGGAGGGGCTGCCTCACGGAGAGGGGCCTGGTAACTCCACGCAGGTCAATGGCGTGGTTCCCTGGGGACCAGCTGCTTTAATTTCCCGTGATATTTCAGTGCCTGAGGCCCATCGATTCAAACTGAAATTAACTTATTTTTCAATCAGGCCTGGGCTGCCCCTGGGGCTGACTCTTCCTTTGCCTCCTTCTGAATAGACCTCGAGCAATTTTTCA